GATGCCGTCCGAGGGGGGGGCGGGGGGGGCGGGCTATTGCTCCTTTCCATGCTACAATGCTCTGGTGTCCTCTGTCTCTTCAAAATGCTTATGACAGTGTTGAATATGTATGTGTGCACGCACTTAAGAGGCATCTTTCCGCCCCATTCTTTCCTGTTCTTACACATAGTTTAAGCTGAACACTCTCAGATTTTTGACTGGCAAGCAAGGTGGATTTGACTTAAATCAAACTGATTTAAATCACAATTTAATTTTTTTAAAAAAATCTGCCATTAATCTATGCAAACAAGTCCAGATTTAGCAGCCCGATTCGTAAAGACAGCAATGTCAGACGAAGCAGATCAAACCTCTCCATGCCTAAGAGGTTGTTCCCATGACATGCCAATCTTTCCTTGCTGGAAGCCGGATCTGAAGGTTTCAGTGAAGTGAGACAGCCTTTTTGACGCTCCATGGGAACAGCAAAGCACTACGGTCCGGTAGTCTTTCTGTTCATCAGGGCCTCTAGACTGTAGTGGTTGCCAACCTTGGGCCACCAGATGTTCTTGGACTATAACTCCCAGAAGCCTTCACCACCACCTCTGCTGGCCAGGATTTCTGGGAGTTGAAGTCCAAGAACATCTGGAGGCCCAAGGTTGGGGGCCACTGCTCTAGAATATCTCAGAAAAAAAGACCACTCCCTTAATGCTTTGTTGTTCCCACGGAGCTTAGAAGGCTTCATCCTTGTCCACGCTTTAATGGCCTTCTGCAGAAACCACCTTGGCAAAGACTGGGTATATGCCCCGAAATGCCTCAATCTGGATTCTTCTGGCTAAAACGATCAGAATTCTAGATGGGGGAATTTCTGCTGAATTCTGGAAGCAATGGTGGGGGGGAAAAAACTTCAAATCCCATGCCTCTTGTCTACAGCCCTTATCTATTACGCAAGAACAAACAACGACGGGGTGTCATCTAATCTTTCCATTTCCACAGAAGGCATAACAAAAAGACGCGTCTTTCCGGTTGAAGAACAAAGTATGGATTCTTTGAAACAAAATGCATGCCTTAATCGCCAGACACGGTAGTACTTCCAATGACTTGGGTGGTGGAATCTACACACTCGCCTCTCTGGCAGTTTTGGAATAGCAAAAGGCAAACCTGTCTAGGGTCTACTCTGTGAAGGAAAGTAAGAGCAACATCTCCAAAGGAGATTGACTGCATTGGCATCCTTGTGGGATACAGCAGATCAATTTAATTGTTATGTAAATCACACTTGCTACGCCATCAACTTTCTCTTAATGGGCCATTCATCATCCCGAAGTTTTCTTTGAAGGAGCCAGATGCTCTCTCTCTCTCAGAGGTCTCTCAGAAGTTCTGGGAAGAAGGAGAAGAAGAAAAAGAAAAACCAAAACACACAAAAACTGCAGAATTACCCTGAACCAAAAGGATAGAGAAATCTCTCAAATTCACAAACCTCTTCTGGTCCTTCTAGACCTGGAATGACGTTAACTAGCCATTAAATGGACTACCAGTTTGCTGAACAATCACAGGTCAGTGACTCTGAACTACCTGAACACACCCTGCTATTTTGCATGGAGGGGATCCTAATTCTGGACAGGGTCTAACCAATCTAAATTAAGGCAATCTCCGTTTATCTGCAAGCATAGGCAGGGACAAACTTTTCCTCCACAAAACTAGTCAACTACAACACAGAAACCAAAAAGCATAGGATTTAGAAGAGGGTACGGAATTCAGGAATCAATGGTTTTCTTGAGTGCTAATCCAGCGGTTGATTTTAAGGAGTCTTACCTAAATTTGGATTAATAACTGGGTTTAGGCCTCAAGTCTAAATTAGGTAATTCTTGGAATTCATTTGCCCAAAATTGGGATGACTCATGCTTTATTTAACAAATTGAAGCACTGAATGGGTTGTTAAGTATATCCCCAGGAGACACGATTCTCTGTTTTAAGGCTATCTTGGAACATACCCTTTGAGACTGCAAAAGAGCTGTTTTCCAAGAGAAAACAAAAACAGGGTTACCTCTGCTGCAGGAGTTGCCTTTTAGCCCTGTTTTGGGATCACAGAGGGTGACAAAAAGATTCTAAAGACCTAGAAGAGCAGAGAAGAGGAGAAGGAAAATCTCCTTGCTACCTGCCCAAAAGCTTTCCTCTGCTACGTTATAGAGATGTTGGGCTCCAGACTGGCTGCCAGCCACAAATCTGAAAGCTTCATCGCTACACAGTGCTGACGGAAGTCTAGACAGTGGAAAGGCCCTTTTCTCTTTGTCTCATCGTAAAGCCTTCACCTGCAGGGCAGGGCAGGGCAGGAGAGTCAACCTCACAGGAAACCTGAATCCATAACCATTAAAAAACAACCACCCTCAAATGCACAGTTACCAGATGGCAGATACTTGGCTCTATGATACTACAAGCAAGAAGGATCGTGGAATTGCTGTAGAGCGCAAGCTGAATATGAGCCAACAGGGGGATGTTGCTGCAGAAAAGGCCGATGCTATTTTAGGTTGCTTTAAGAGAAGTATAGTCTCCAAATCCTGTGTGTGTGTGTGGGGGGGTACTAGTGTTCCTCTGTTCAGCACTGGCTAGTGTCTTATGCCCTATTCTGGAGACCACACTTCAAGAAGGATGCCAACAAACTGGAACAAGTTGGGCAGCAAGGATGAAAATCCAAGAACCTGGAGGAGAGACTAAAGGAACAGGGCAGGTTTGAGAAAAGAAGACTGAGGAGAGATAGGATAGTACTTTTTCAAATTCTTGAAAGGTAGTCCTTCAGAGAAGGGGAAGAATCTCTTCTCAAATCATCCCAGGGAGCAGGACATACAATAATGGGCTCCAGATACAGGAAGCCAGATTTAAGTTATCAGGAAAAAAAACTTCTTAACTGTTAGAGCAGTACGACATTGGAACCCGTTACCTTGGGAAGGGGTGAGCGCTCCAGTGCTGGAGGCGGACATCCGTCTGTCGGATCTGCTTGAACTTGGATTCCTGCCTGGATCAGAGGGAGTGGATTTGATGGTCTTACAAGGGCCCTTCCCGCTCTGTTTTCTTATGATTCTATGAAATGCTGTTGTCTAAGAAGCGCTAGATAGCACTCTCAATAAGACGTCTGGAAATGCCGTTCTCTCTAGGACAACCGGCATGGGTGGGCAACATGTGTGCCCCCCCCCAGACTGTTTTCACAGCCCTCAACATCCTCCAGCAACTATTCCCCCTTCTGCCCTCCTCGACGGTCCAAAAATAATGGGAGACAACTCCACATCCTAAACACTTTAGGGAAGGTGAGACCAGTGAATATTTCTGGGGAGGGTTTTTTTTTTTTTTAAAAAAAGAGATTCTCCTCTAGAGCAGCAGTAGGAAAAGCATAACCTTCCAGATGCTGCTGACTCCGTCCTAGCAATTCTCACAATTACCTATACAGTGGTGCCTCGCTTGACGACGTTAATCCCTTCCAGCGAAATCGCTGTAGAGCAAAATCGTCAAGCGGGGGGGGAGAATCCATAGAAACGCATTGAAAACCGCTCAATCCATTCCAATGGGCTAAATACCTAATCGTCCAGAATCCATAGAAACGCATTTAAAACCGCTCAATGTGTTCCAATGGGCTAAATACCTAATAATCCAGTGAAGATCCTCCATAGGGCGGACATTTTCCAGTGCCTGTTAAGCGAAAAACCCATCCTAATCACAGTGTGGAGCCATTTTGCACAGCAAGCGGCCATTCTGAAACCCGATGATCAGCTGTTTTTAGATTGTCGTAATGCGGAGAATCGGTTCCCGAAGCAGGGAACCGATCATCATCAAACGAAAATCGCCCATTGAAACATTGTGTTGTGATCGTAAAAACCTCATCGTCAAGTGGATTCGTCGTTTACCAAGGTAATCGTTAAGCGAGGCACCACTGTACTGCCTAGAGCTGATGGGAGTTGTAATCTAAGAACAACACATTCAATGCAACTCTCTTTTTTTTGGTACCAACACTGGAATATTCATTGTAGAATATGCTTCTAAGTCTCTGAATTTTAATGGGGCTCACAAATATATGGCATGCTTCCATTTTGCCTCGAACACCTCCACCAAGACTTGACCTGGGATAAAAATCAATCGAGGCCTCCAACAGAGGTTTAATGGCATTATACACAAGACAGCCTACCGAAACAATAACTTAGCAGCCACCCTACACATTAATTACTCTGTTCGGGTCTTAAAAAACATTTTAATGCCTAATAAAAGCATGTGTTTCATGCAAAATTAACTGCCATAAGGAATGTGCCAGCACACCTCGATGAACTGTTCCAAACGCCCGTCTTTAAAAAGGAGATTGATGAACAGACGTGTTCACGGGTAATAGAAAACGAACAATCGTAAATGCTCACCCCGGGCTTGAAGGCAGAGTTTTAAAGCCAACACAACAGGCAAGCAAACCGAAACCAAGGCACACATTCAAATCCAACAAGAAAGACATTTACATGCAGTATTGACTTGCAGCATTGCAGTAGGCCAGACACCAACATAAATCTGAAGCTTCCTCATTGTGCTAGTTTAACGCACAGCGGGCTAAAGTCGTAAAGCATTGAGACAAGGCACTCGAGTTCCCTATATTCCGAGGGCCCCTCTTTTTTCCATGGAATTCCCACGTCGAGCACAGGAAAGAACTGGGGATCTCAGGTAACCATCCCACATCAATGGGGAATTCATACCAGAATACAGTGGTACCTTGCTAAACGATGAATCCACATAACAATGACTTTTTGTGATCGCTATAGCGATTCGCAAAACAGTTATTCCTATGCGGGATTTTCGCTGGACGTCGATTAGGTCCGTGCTTCGCGAACCGTTTGTTCGCAAGACGACAATTTTTTTTGGCTCTGCAAAATGGCTGCCCTGTGTTTTCTGGACCCATGCTTCGCAGGGCAGCCATTTTTACAGCTGATCGGCGCTCGCAAAATGGCTTCCCTATGGGTGATCTTCGCTGGATGACGAGGTATTTTCCCCATTGGAACGCATTAAACGGGTTTCCATGCATTCCAATGGGGAAACGGATTTCGCATGACGATGATTTCGCTAAACAGTGATTTTCACAGGACGGATTATCGTCATCATGCACGGCACCACTGTATATTCAAATTGCCCTGTGGTTGCCAACTGGGGAAGCAGGTAATGAATCAGAGACAGGCTGGACATTTTTCCCTTTAGGAATATTGATCTATTTCACATTATTGTCTTGATCAATAATCCTGAGCCACCCTGGTTGGCTTGTTCAACTCAATCATCGCGGATTTAAAAAGCAAACACTAAATCCAGTTGCATTTTTAGACTCAAAGAATTACAGTGGACCCTCTACTTAAGGAATATCCAAATTGCCCTGTGGTTGCCAACTGGGGAAGCAGGTAATGAATCAGAGACAGGCTGGACATTTTTCCCTTTAGGAATATTGATCTATTTCACATTATTGTCTTGATCAGTAATCCTGAGCCACCCTGGTCGGCTTGTTCAACTCAATCATCACAGATTTAAAAAGAAAACCCTAAATCCAGTTGCATTTTAGACTCAGAGAATTACACAGCTGGAAGGAAACCATTTTAGTTATATTTTATTTAAAATATGTTTGCCATGCCTTGCTCCTTCAGGAGGTCTCGAGGTAGCTTACATTGTTAAAAGACAGTGTCTTGAGCTAAAAAAGAGTAAATACTAAAAAAGGACCAAACCAACACCACACAAAGACAGGGAACAAAAGCAAGACCAAAAACACATGAAAAGCAATAGGGCAATTTAAAATCCCAAATCAGCTTCACTTTTGTAGCTTTATTATGATCATTACTGCTTGATTTCTCGTTATTTATTGATTTCCGAGAAATCTCTAACCGTAGCCTGTTAAGGATTTCTATAAAAGATTACTGAAAGTTGGAGGAAAGGAATAACCCCCCTCCCGGGGGGGTGCTCTTTCCAGCTCATATTAACTGGGCAAATCCATTGATTTCAATGGGACACACACCCCCAACAGCAGCTTCCTGGCATTCCCTTGTCCAACAGACAAGCCACAAAGAAGGCGGAGAAGGAGAAACGTTCCTGATGCTCCCCAGCTCACATGTTGAGTTTTCTCAAGCCACAGATGCCACATTTCCACTCTGAACCAGAGACGGGAAGCTGGCTGCTCTACCTCGGTGCAGCTTTGGGCCAAACAAGGAGGGTTGTGTTGGGAAATCTCAGAAGGCCACACATGGCACCCCTCGGGCTCGGCAAAGGCAGAAGACGCAGATCCCGCTGGCTCCAAGACTTGGCAGGAAGGGCCAGAGGTTGGCCAGCGCACACCATCAGGTGGTTGGATGTGGCGCTGGGCATCTGGAGGGACCCATCCCAGCATAAACAAAACCAGCCAGAAATGGCTGCCCAGTTTCTAAAAACGAGTCAACCACAAGCTAAGGGCCTCCTTCCTCCCACCCCACAGCATATTCCAAAAGCTGGCTTCTTTAATCCTTGTCATTTCCAGCAACCGTGAAAAAGGTAAATAACCGGAGTCCCCCCCCCGCTAGACTGGGCCAAAACTTTTATTTAAATCAGGATATTATTTCTCGGTGGCAGGGCCAGGCAGATGCTACTCGGAACCAACCTGGCAGGCACCTTCTCTTGCTGTCCCTATTCAGAGACAAGACTACAAGTTGAAATGGATGTCCCTTGATGTTCTTCTAACAAAGAGGAATCGACAATTAATCCCTCAAGGTTGTAGTATCATCTGAAGGGTTCTTTCTTTTAAAGACTTCCCAGTTCTACAAACACACTTAAAAAAAACAACAACTTAGTAGGCAATAGTTGAAAAACATACAGTATCTGCAAACATTTTACAACCTGGAAGAAACCTTATTTGGTCAGAGAGGATACAGTTGCTGGGCAATCTATTCCAACCCCACCCGGTCCCCATCAATAAAAAAGTGGAGCTTTCTCAAATCACTGTTGCTGAACAGTCATGAATTTTAGGGAGTAGGACTTGCTTAAAGGTAAAGGTAAAGGTTCCCCTTGACAATTTTTGTCCAGTCGTGTTCACCTCTGGGGGGTGGTGCTCATCCCCGTTTCCAAGCTATAGAGCCAGCGTTTTTGTCCGAAGACAATCTTCCGTGGTCACATGGCCAGTGCGACTTAGACACGGAATGCTGTTACCTTCCCACCGAGGTGGTCCCTATTCATCTACTCGCATTTGCATGCTTTCGAACCGCTAGGTTGGCGGGAGCTGGGACAAGCGACGGGAGCTCACTCCGTCGTGTGGATTCAATCTTACGACTGCTTGGTCTTCTGACCCTGCAGCACAGAGGCTTCTGCGGTTTATCCCGCAGCGCCACCACATCCCCTAGGACTTGCTTACCGATATTTATTATATCATTTCTAACCTGCTTTGTTATCTACAGATCTCAAATCATAGCCAAAGAACCTGAAACAAGTCAAGGAGTTTAAAACAAACCCAACCGATTTAAAACAGTTTTAAGCAAACAAACCGACACCCAACACAAGAAGTTAGCAAGCTATGTGTTGATTGGCCTAATAAAAATTAGTGCCCTTGTATAGATTTCAGAGTTGTCCCTACAACCAACATAGCGACCAGTGCCTTTTAAATTTTTTTAAATGTAGTTCTGATTTCTCCGAGTCAGGAATCTGCTGCAGCCTTAGACCAATCCTCAACTTTATTTTTTAAAAATATTAAAATAAAATGGGTGTGGGATATTGTCAAGCAAAGAGATAATGAAATGATAGGAAGCTTCTAGATGCAATTATAAACAACTGTTTGGCTGAACATGTATTTCTGAAGTATAAACTCTGGAATGACCTATCAGCTCCCTTGGTTTATCTTTGAAGAGGAATAATTCTCTTCTAATACAGTTTAAAAACAATTGAGTAGCTTCTTCCCACCCATCTTGGCTGAATATCCCATTGTACGTTCCTTAGGGCAGAGATCTGCCTTCTTTGTTTATGTGGCTCTACAAAGCACCAGTGCATCGGTGAAGTTTTATTCTGAGAATTAACAAGTAATAAATGATACAGACCAAATGCAAATACAAAAAAAGTTTAAATGGGTTGAATCTTTTAAGACACAATCCAGCCAAAGGAAAGCACTTATGGTGTCTCGCTGACATCATGGAAGAGGCAAGCGAAGGTGACCCAAAACTATGGAGTAATTTAGTAATAAGAATTGTGTGCTGTGTTCTCAAACTGTGGTCCCCAGATGTTATTGGACTGCAGTTCCCATAAGCCTTCACCACTTGCCACGCTGGCCAGGATTGCCAGGAGCCGCCGTCCAGTCTAGTCAATTCTGACTTTCAAAGTTTCCTAGCTAGAGGCCGGGAGTCGCCGTCCAAGAACATCTGGGGATGCAAGTTTGAGAACCACTGGTCTAGTCCATTCTGACTTTCAAAGTTTCCTAGCTAGAGAATGGTCAGAAGTGGTTCAACATTCTCTTCTTCTGGGGTGCCCTGGGACTGGGCAGCTTGCCCAAGGCTACGTAGGCTGGTTTTTCTGGGAAGCCCAGTAGGGAAATGAACTCCCAGCTACTTGCTCTGCAGCTAGAAATTGAGCTGTCCAGTCAACATGATTTAGGCAGGAAAATAAACCCTGCCTAAATTATGCGACACGTTGGTTTTCCTGGATGTGCTGCTTAGCCACAAAAAGAATACCCAGAGCAATCTTAAAATAAGCAAAGGTCTTTTCATGCCTCCAGTTGAGCTTATCCTGTGCAGCGAGTGATAGAACGCAACACGAAAAGCAAACCATGAAAAAGCAGGTCGGTAGAGAGCATTTCAGAAACAGCACTCGTTTTGTGTCGTGGTTATGGGTTACGTACTGTCAGCGTACAGTACTTTCTCAGAGAATAGAGTCTACTGTTCTCTCTGAGCACACATACATATCCTGATAATATCTTTTTAACCGCAAGGAGAGAGAGAGTCCAAGCGGCTGGTGAGGTCATCACAACACAACAAAGCAGAAGTCGTGTCACAAGAGTGCCTTCGAACCACTCGACTAAGCCTTGCACCTTCCAAGGTGATGGTTGGTTAGGCTGGATTTGTCACAGACATCCTTTTAAAACTCAAAACTTTGGATTCGATTTCTGCTCGATCAGACAGGGGCAGAGTACAAGCACGGGAAAAGTCCAGCTAGCTCACCCTCTGACCATGCTTAACTCGACATCCTGCTTCCTACAGCTCCCAGCCAAAGGTTTCTATAAAGCTTGCAAGCTGAGCATAAAAGCAAAACATTCCGCCATCCTGCCAAAAGGACAAGACTTTATGGTGAGTTACCGTACTTTCAGAACAAAACCAAACCAAGCCAACACAGAGAAAGATATCTCTGGTGAGCCTATAACATGGAAAGATGTGGAGTCTTTCCTTCGGTATTTCTCCTTCTTAAATAGGTTAGAAAAACAGTCCGTGTTGCTACAACGCTGCATGTACACGCAACGCTCACGCCATACTTTCCATGCGCTCCCTTCTCTCGGGGAAGACAAATAACAAAAAACTTCCTTTTTAAAAAAAAGCACCAACTCTCTGGATGGATTAACCTACAGCCAGCCATGTAGATATCTCTGTTGGTAGGCCTAAACCCTGCCCGGTATGCCGTAAAGAAAGCAAGAAAATCTGGAACTGTTTACCTGGAAGAAAACTAGAGGACAAATTCCATTTCTGGAAGGGGAGAGAAAAAAAGACTGGGGAGGAGGAGTTTCATCACCCTTTTCACGGGAGTTTATTTACTCTGTTCACAAGCAGGGGTTGAAGAAAGCATTTTTATTGTTCCGGGGTGCCGAGCAGCAGCACAGAAATCAGCAAATGAACCTCTCCTCTTTAAAAGGAGAAAGGATCTGTTTCCACCTTAAAAGAAGAAGGGGGGAAAAAAGCAGAGGCTTCTGGTTTGTCCTCTTTTATTTCCATGGCTGACGGCTCAGTAAAGGAAGCAACTCGTAGGCCCAGGAGGGGGAAAAATGTACACAAAACTAAACCGAGAGCTTATGGGAAAAGGACGGCAACACAGCCACCAGGCTCCCAGGAATAAGGGGGGAAGAAGGGAGCGGGCTGGTTTTACAAGGAGAAATTAATTACTCCGCCACAGTCCAAGGGTATCTCGCCTACTAAAAAGAAGTTTGTTTCAAAGCCCGTATGCCAGAGAGAAAGCAAGCAGCTGGGGAATTCACCGCTAAATTACCCAACGCAGGAAAACAGCCCGGAGAGAAAACATGATTTGGGGAAAAATAAAATTCTTCTGTAAAAGAGGAAACCGATATGCAAAACAGGTTGTGCCTAAAAGAGGGACACCCGTAGGCGCTAAAAGATGCTCTGTATTAGACCCTCCGTCTCACCTTCGATTGTCAAATTTCACAACTGGAAATGTGGCATCTCTAAACCGCAGGTATCGTAAGAAACTATCCGCAGAGTGACGTTCATGCTATGTGCATTAAAACTGCTTCCGACTTATGGCAAACTGACAGGCATCCTAAATATTCGGTGAGGTGTTGCAAGAATGGGGTACCCTTGCCGCCCCTACCCGTCCCATGAATTTCCATGGCTGAGCAGAGATTTGAACTCAGAGCTCGCGAGTCCTAGTTTGACACTCTACCCACTACAATATTTGGGCTACAAATGATGGCGCAGAAGAAGACTGCTTTACAGACGCACATCTTCTGTTGCTCCTCTTCATCTGCTGGAGGGCTCAGCGGTTCAAGTCTCCGGCTGTGAAGCCAGAGGTTGGGAGTTCGATTCCCCGCTGGGGCATCCTTGTCAGGGGCTGGACTCTTATGACGCACAGAGTCCCTTCCAGCTCTGCAGTTCTAAGAGGATGATGATGATTACACAATAGTCATCATTTGAACCTCCTTTAGCTCGACTTCAATGTTGGAAAACTCTATTTCAGCCATTTTTTTGAACAGGCTTTAACTGCCGTTAGCCTCTACCAAGCCCTTGTTTGAACACCACTGGATTTTGGTACCTTAACTAGCTATCTATTACACTATCAAGTTCTTTTTTTAAATTATTATTGTTCATGCCCCTTAAGATGAACTATCTGTTCCTAGTAGACAGAAGAAGTAACCTTAACAATTATTTTAGGAAAGCCACGGCAATAGGCCAGCATTGTAATGGGATGATGATTGTGAACATTTAATGAGAAGAGCACAGCGTGGCTGGAAGGGGGGGGGGAGAAAAAGGTAAAATAGGGGCCTGGTTGGGCTGCTTTCGCTCATGGGGCAGCCTGACCGTTATGGGGCACCCAAGAAAAGCCCCATTCCTTTGCTTTCACCAGGGGCCCTGCGCCGACCCTCTTCTTCAAGCCGCCAGAGGCAGGAGGACTCTTAGCAAGATCCTCAAGAGAAAGGAAAGGAAGATATGATGCAATGAGACCCGACACAGAGCAAGAAGCAGAGATTTCTGACCGGACAGGTGGACCTGGCAACCCAACCCTACTAGGGGAAAGAAAAATGCCACCCGGGGACGGCCGATTCTCGCGCGCCAAATGGACTTTCTCCACGAGATCAGAGCAGGCGGCCCACGCTCTTCCGTAGTCCCCCTTCCGGCGACGGATGGGGTCTCCGGCAATCTTTATCCTCTGCAAAAAAAAACCCCAGCAGCCTCAAGATAGTTGAGCAGCTGTCGCTCCCCTTCCGTCTGCGGGATGCCTTCCCTCCTCCCACACAACCTGACAACCCACAGGAATGCCTCTTTCCACAACAGACAAGGCCTCTGTTCCCCAAGGAGCTGGAGGGATCCCTCCGGACGACCACACGGCCTTTGGGGGGGGGGAGGAAGAGGCCTATTCTAGTCCTTTAAACCAATAACGCTCTGCGGGGGGTTAAGGAAGAAATGGTTCCCTCGCATCTTCCACAGGGATCCTTTCCCTTTCCAAATTCATGCGGTTCAAAATGCAAGAAAGGGAGATATATATTTTAAAAGCACACACAAAACCAGGTCTCTTTCAATCAGTTCTGATGAAAAACCATCTCCTTCTGACTCCTTCCGTCAATGAAACGAGTTCTGATAACAATTGTGTAACTTCACTGATTTCTAACTGTGATGGGTTTTTGCCTTCTCTCCCCATCTTCCTATAAGCTCGACATCAAGCGCGGTGGTGTGGTCTTAATTTATTCAATTTATTATTATTATTTTATTTTTTTGGACTTATTTTATTTCTACCGAATCTTTCAGTTTTTGTATAATGTTCCATCTCTCAAGAAGTCTTGAAAAGATTCTAGGAATTGGTTTCTTCGAAAAAGAAAAATTCTCCAGCTCTCACTTCATCCTCACGATCATTTTTTTTTTTTTTTGGTATCTACCTCCATTTCCCACTTTACAATTCCCACCTCACATATTTTCTCCCTCCTCTCAGGATAGGATAGCTTACATCCTTCTTTCATGGACCATTCCTCTTATCAAAGATTGACACTGGATCAGAAGCTTACTTGCTAACATCTGGAACACCTGAGATTGAGTCGGGGCTTGGAAACTACATCTCCCAGAATTCCCCCGGCTGGGGCACCTTGGGAGCTACAGGGCGAAAGGAGGAAACTTCCATAGCTCTGCCCAAAGCCAGAAAATATGTGAGTTAAAGATGCCACTTTTCCTACTACTCAAGAGAGCTTGCTATTAATTCTGCTCATGTAAACCTTCGAAGCAAGCTTTTAAAACGAAGAAAGAAAGAAATCCAAAACAGAATGGAAAAATTTCGCCCTGCAAGACCAATTCTCTCCATATATAGAATAACCACCAACAGCCCCACACACCTCAGAGTGGAGCGACCCCTAATTTAAGCAAGATTGAGTGCCTAAAGATTTCCAAAATGTTAAGCAGTGCTTAGCAACAACAATTACACATACAGACACACACCCCCCACAAGACTACTCACAGGGGTAGAATTTCCACCAGTGTTTCCCCTCCCACAAATTCTTGCAAACATTTAACAGCAAGCAAAAAAACAAAAACTATAACTAAGAGTGTCCACTTCATCATCAGAGTTGTTCTAAGCACATGTTGCTTTTTGTGCATGAGTGGAAGTTTCTACCCCTTTCTGTTTTTTTTTTCTTTCAGTTGCAATCAAGGCCCAGAATGTGGGTCGGAAAGGGCGAAAGAGCGCTTTGGAGCATGCGCAAAAGGCAGGAGGAAGCACAGCTGAGATGGGCAAACTGATGATGCTCCAGAGGCATTAAAAAGATGCCTGAAATCGGAGACGCTCATGAAAGCGGACACCGAAATAAGCGTGTTATTCATCCGTATCTTGGCACAATACTCTTGTTTCGTTTTGGCTCTTGCATTTAAAAAAAATCAAACAAACAAACAACAACAACAAAACTACAATACAGGAAGGTTTAATGCAGTAGCCAATAATGGCAATTTTCCAGTTCTTCCCAGAGGAACTCTGAATCTGTCACCATTGAGTCATCGCAACTAAAAGCTCCACTATTTATTTATGCTGCTCCCAGAGGTGAGAAAGCCGAGCTGTCAGGGAGACAAACTCGGAGCTCCAGGACCCGTTTTATTTGATTAATTAACAGATGACTTCGAACGAGAAATCAGACCAAGACAAAAAGGGCTCCAAGATACTCATTTTTCGGGATCTCATCCTGCTCCTCGTCGGTTGGACTAGGGCTTTCAAGATGCACACCTTCATGTCACCCCTTGAAGATTTAATTTTTCCACTTTCAAAGTTGGGAGTTCGCCTCATTTTTCTCCCAGCCGCTCCCGGATATGATTTATTTTATTTATTTAAAATATTTACGGATCCAAGGCGGCGCGCAGCATTAAAAGAAACAAAGTTTAAAGGTAAATAATACATGATTACAGCATTTTTTTTTAAAAAAAGGTGTTAAACAGAGATCATATTCAAACTCATAAAAAAAAGCAATATGAGAAGCTCAAGGAAAAAAATCCCATTGGTCAACAAATCATTTAAACTGACTTGCCTAAAGGCGAAGGTCTTGGCCTGCTTGTAGAAGGACAGCAAAGATGGGGCCTGGCTTGGCCTCCAGTGGGAGGGAGTTCCACCGTCCAATCTCTCTCTCTCTCTCGTATCCTCACCAGACACACTTGTGAAGGGGGTGGAACAGAGAGAAAGCTTAACAACCCCACTAGGAGGTCCTTCTCCGGCATTCCGTTCATTCCCGGGTCCATCTTCAAAGACCCCCCCAACTCAACGGAGTCCCACCTCTATGTAATGGGTGCGAATCTTCCCTGCCAAAAAGCCTACAGGGTTCCCTTCAGGACCGGCATCCGATTTAGGGTACACAACACCCAAACACCGGTTTACTTCCAATTGGGTTCCCTTTCTCAAGACCCATAAATGCCCACACAAGATTTCTGCACACACACACACAGGGTACACAAACGCTGGTCTCCTTCCAATTGGGTTCCCTTTCTCAAGACCCATAAATGCCCACACAAGATTTCTGCACACACACACACACGCCAAGCAGGCATGCCAGCATCTTCACACATCCACGTGAGCGACATCGGTGTGGATTTGCCCCATCTGGGGGTGCCCTCCCTCCCTCCCCACCACCAAAGCCGACGTGGCGGCTGTCGAGCAAGCCGTT